ATATGGGGAAGCAATTTGTCATTTAACGCTTAATTATTCACCAGAAACRTCGGGAAGGCTGAGATAAACCTGGACAGGTCGTCCTGAAATTCAACCTTTTTATCTGGGGATGGATTCCTGGGAAGAGTGAGMACCTGGAGGGGGCTGGCTGCAGAGTGGGGCTCCCAAGGCGTGCTTTTATTTTGGAATTGAGGGAAGCGGGAGGAGGCTGCGGTCACACGGCAGGGAAGTGTGCGGAGCTGCTCCTTATCGGGAGCTGGGGAACAAAAGGCGCTCTGTTGGGACTCAGAGCCCTCTCCCTAAGCCTCCCGGCTCTCCTGGACTTTGCTTCCCTCCTGCCTCGCAGAAGCAGCTCCCGGAGCCGGCTCGGGCTCCAGACACGAGGAGATGTGTCCACAGGTGGGTTTTGGGGAGCTGACCTGAAATGAGGASGGATTGGGTTTCCAGAGGGACTGGAGGTGCCAGGAAGGGGCAGGTTGGGAATCCACCTGACTTTTGACATTGGCAGATCCGGCTGATTTTTTACATGGGAATGCTTTCGGTTAAAAGAGGAGAGATTTAGGTGGGGTATTGGGAAGGAATCGTTCCCTGGGAGGGTGGGGAGGCCCTGGCACAGGGTGCCCRGAGAAGCTGTGGCTGCCCCTGGATCCCTGGMAGTGTCCAAGGCYGGGTTGGACACTGGGACTTGGAGCAGCCTGGGATAGCGGAAGGTGTCCCTGCCCTGGGTAGAACTTTAAGGTCCTTTCCCACCCCAAGCCATTCCAGGATTCTGTGATTCCATGGTGCTGTGGTGTAACCTCTCTGCCTGGGTCTCCTTGGGGAGGTTGGACCAGGAGGGAAGGTGCCTGCTGGTTTTTGGGGTGCTGAGGACACTCTGCCAGATGCAGTGTGTTGTGAGATGGTTTTGGGTTTGGGTTTTTTTGGGCCGCSTGGGTGTTTTCAGTCTACCCCAGCAGGTGCAGCCCGATTCTCTTGCCCAGCCCTGGGTGGGTGATGGAGTGTAACCCCYACAACCCCAGCTCCAGGGGCTGAGCTGTGAAACCTGCCTTCAGCCAGGGCCAAAATTCTCTGGCTTCCCTGAAACCTGGCATTGCTCAAATACACGGGAAGAGGGAAATACTGGGACTCAGAGGTGGCAGTCCCTGCTGTGGCATTCCAGAGGCTGAGCTGCCATGGGCTATTCTGGGCCTTTGGGGGTGGCTGCATTAATTTGGGCCTGTAACCACCATTATGTCCCTTCTCCTGGCTGCCAGCCTGGCCCTGTCACTGCTGTCCCAGCCCCAGGCTGTCCTTGGAGGGTGTTTTTGCGGCTGGTTCATCTCCTCYCTGTCCTGTGCTCAGTCAGGGCTGGAGTTCTTCAGAAACGGGCTCACAGTGCTGGGAAAACAGAGTTGTTTTCCTTTTCCTTGTCACTCACCTCCCCTCRCAGCCTTCCGAGTGTTCCGAGGCCAAGGACAGCAGAGCTCTGGGATGCGAGGACAGCTCCAGGGACAGCCCTGCCTGAAGGAGCCTCCCTGGSAGCCAGACTTTGCCCTCTTTTCCAAGGCAACGCCTTGGCAGAGCTTGGGCTGAGGCTTCTGCCCAGCACCGATCAAAGCTGAACCTGTCTGTGCTGGGCCTTGCAGGTGCCTCCCAAGAGTCCCTCTCCTCACACTGCAGCAGGTTTTCTTAAATCCACGTGGGTTTTATAGCRCTTTACAACATCTGATCAAATAACCTGTACTCCATATGTCAYCAAACATTCCATATGCCTGGAATGGATGAGCTGCTGCTGGAGAAGGCTCCTGAAGGCACTTCAGCTCCTCACCTGTCTCAGCAGGGCTCATTGCATCATCCCAGCTCTGATTTCATCATTTCTTTCCTTTTAGAAGCAGGAATGCTCATCTGGGCTCTCARATCCCTGGAGTTTCCCTGAGCAGGCAGAGGTGCTTCAGGGTGGCCCATGTCCTGTGAGCCAGGTGTGGCTCTGGGGAAAATACCTCCTGGAGGAGCTGGATTTGGGATGAGGAACCTCAGTCAAAGCCTGAGCCTGTTCCAGTTCAGAGCTCTGTGTGTGCCTGATTCCCAGTTTTAATGTCTGAGCTTTGCCTGAAGCATCTCAGGGTGTGTTTTGTTGGGTAAAAGCTTGAAATAGACTGACATTGATGTATTTTAACACACCAATGGGGTTCACAATCCAATTGTGAATATGGTGGGGATGTTCCTGGCAAGTCCTCAGGGCTACTTTAAGCCCAGTCTGGCTGTCCTGAGCTCATGGATGTTTTTAAGTGTATTTGGCTTTTTTTAAGCTAGAAAAAAAATGTTTACTTTCTGCTTGCAGGAAGGTAAAGCTGGCTGAAGGAGAACTGTGGCAGGGGGTTTGAAGGGTCAGTGCACAAACCAACTGCTCGAGGCCATAAATAAGAACTTTCTGTACCCACACACTTGCCCAGGGACAGAGATTCAGCTTGGCTGGCTCTGCCAGGCATTTGGCAATAACTAAACCCCCTTGGTTTGCCTATCTCCTCCTGGCATCTCTTTCTGAGGTTTAGTTACTGATTCTGGGATGAAATGTGAAACAAAGTTCTCCACGCTCATGCTCAGAAGAAGGACTTTGTTTACAGTTTCAGCAGCTTTTTAACTCATTGCCCACAAAGGTTTAATTTTAATAGGGCTCTCTTGCTTTTGAAACCTCACCTAGACTGGCATCACAAAGGAAAAATATAATTTTGAAATATTAAATTGATGCTCATCTTTGCTGTGAAAGGACAGTGGTTGGTGTGCTGTCCTTGTGGCTATTCCAAAAGGGTTGCTCCCAAATCCAGCTTCTCCATGCATTTATTTCCATCAGTGTTTTGGAACAATTTGATAGAGAAATCATGGAATTATGGAATGTTTTGGGTTGGAAGRGACCTTAAAGATCCTCTTGTTCCAGCACCTGACTGAGAGCACTGTTCAGCTCATGGTTTGCTCCATATTGAGAGGGTTAGCAGTAACCACAGCAGGATTTTTAAGCAAGTTACTTGGGAATTGGAGTGTTTGTGGTTTTCTTAGCTTCTTTCAATCGTTGTCTTTACTTTGTGCTCATTATAATACTTCAGTGTGTACTTAAATTTAAGCTGCTCCAGTGAGAAGGGGCGGGTTGGTATTTTATTTTGTAGTGTGCAAGCAAAATTCTTTCCAGTCTGGCATAAAACCTTTTTCAAACAGGCAGAAGGGARGGGAATGAGCAGGTGGGGGTGGCTGCTGTCACCTCCTGGGCTCTCTCTGGCTGTGACCAAGTCAGGTCAAGCCTCTGCTTCCCTCCTACTGCAGCATTAATGGTGTTTCTAGAAAGCGCAGCATAAATCCAGTAAAGCACTTAAGCAAGTCCCAGCTTTAGGTGTGTAAGTGGTTTGGGTGGATTGATGCTTTTTGAAGTGGGTGGGGGCTTTAGAGGCTTTTCTTTCCCTCTGCAGGGMTGCCACGGGCTCTGCTCTGGTGGATTTGGCTGGAGCAGCCCCTTCTCCTCACACTGAAGCTGTGTGCAGGTTCATGCCATGTTTCACTTCAGGGTGGTGTCCTGGAGCTGCTGGTGTCCACAAGCCAGGTGGAAGCTGAGCCAAACCTCCAGAAGGAGCTCCAGGCTGTGCCCATCCTGCTGAGTGTAGAGGGCAGGGGGGCTGAGAGAGCAGAGCTGGGCTGCACTGGGTCACTTGGCTGCTCCCAGTGTCCATGTGGAACAAGAATTGCTGTTGTGCAGCTCTCTCTCCATCCCTTCAAAGTTTTCTATCCCCTTTTGCCCTGGAAGTGCCCAAGGCCAGGCTGGACAGGGCTTGGAGCACCCTGGGACAGTGGAAGGTGTCCCTGCCCATGGCAGGGGGGGCACTGGATGGGCTTTGAGCMCCCTTCCAGCCCAAACTACTCCATGATTTTATGAATACAGGGCTTTGAGAAACATCATTTTCTCCAGAATCTTTGGAAAAAGCCCTGAAAGCTGCTCTGTGCTCCCTGGCAGAGGAAAAGGGTTTGCTTCAGTCAGACTGCTGCTGCTCTGCCCTGCTGCTGTTCTGAGGGGCAGCTGGGATCCCACCAGGTGAACTTCCCATGGAGCAAAGGGCTTTCCATGAGCAGCTCTTCACSTGGAGACCGGGCAAGAGGGCTCCCACCCCTCTGCCTGACCCCTCTGGTGACATGGGGTSAGCTGGAGCTCAGCACCAGCACTGGCACATCCAAAAATTCCTTGATTTSCTCTGAGGCATGCTGGGGATATCTCARGAGAGGAGCTGGCACTGAGGGGTARCAAGAACTTTGGCTTTTGGGRCAGTTTCTGCTTCTGGTCCCGTGATTCTCCAAAAATTGGGGTCAGAGGGCATCATCCCTGCCCACRTGTAGGAGTGAACAGGCAGGACTGAAGGTGAGCACCTGCCTGGGGTGCAGAATTGGGAGGAAAACCCCATTCTCCATGTTCATCTCATGGTCTCTGAAAACCCAAATCCTGCTGCTTTCCCAGAGCCCACTCCCTGATGGATTTGAGCTGCTGYTCCAGCTGAAGTGTGGAGATTTGAGGCCCTGCAAATTAGAGGCTGGAATGAAGATTYAGAAACAGCTTGCTTGCTGTTGAGGGATGGAAGGTTTTACCTGACAGGGAAAAAAAAAAGGTGTTTTAAGGGCTAACTGGAGTTTTGAATGGTGGTTTCTGCAGGGAATTCAGATGAGTAACATATCTTCTTGGAATGGGGTGGGGGAAAGCAGCGGTGGTGGGAACTGCTGAGTCAGCRGTGGGTAATCCCTCCTGCCCTGGCCAAAACAGAGCCTCCCTCCAACCCTTAGTGAGTCCCTGTTTCTGTGACCTGCTTCCCAAACCCTGCACAGGCTGGGGTGCAGAGCAGYACCTGGTCCCAGTCTGATTGCACGGGTTCTGCACTCAGAAATGCAGCAGGGCCAAATCCCACTGCCACATGGGGTTTTSTCCTGCTGTGCTCTGAATCCACCCAGCTGTGGGATCTCACCTTTTTGCTCCTTGTGGTGTTCTCCACCAGGCAAATGAGGTGACTGACAGTGCCTACATGGGCTCGGAGAGCACGTACAGCGAGTGCGAGACCTTCACGGATGAGGACACCAGCACCCTGGTCCAGCACGAGATGCACGACGAGGTGGAGACCGACAGTGCCATCGACTCCACCGTGCACTCGGAATTCACCGACCCCATCGAGGAGCCGGAGCATGGGTGAGTGGGAACAGCCCCAAAATCCCCCWCATGGGGATCGAGGGAGACACAGCCTGAGGATTTCACATGGAGTGGGCTGAGTCTGTCTTGCTGGAACTTGGTTTGTTCTTTGTGTTTGTAACTCTGAGCAAGACCAAAATAGCTCTTCTGGAGGAATAACGAGAATAATGAGGCTGGTTTGTGTAGGCTGGGTTGGAGCCCGGCCTGGCAATCTCTTTGAGTTAATCGTTGCTTGCCTTGGGAGATCTTCTGTACCTTCATTAGCATCTTTCACCTCTAAAATAATTTCTCAGGTGATCCAAACACMTGAAAGACTTGCAGTTTTTAATCTATCACTTAAGCCAGAAACACAACATATAATTTTCCAGTCAGGAGGGGAACTCGTTCTATTTTTGTTTTCCCTAAAAACATGTGTGTGCCCTTTGATGTGCAACCACCTCCTGTAATAACTGGTTTGAAACCTYTGCCTGGAGCACAGAAATGTGAGCCAAAATCTCCTTCCCCGGGTCTGAACCGCTGCTGGCGAAACTACTCCTGGGCCCACCTCATTTTTGGAGGAAAAGTGGGGTTTGGGGTGAAACTGGGATGCTGGCAGGCAGGAGGGGAGGGAAGAACTCCTTTAGAATCACAGAGTCATGCAATGGTTTGTGTTAGAAGGGACCTTAAAGCTTATCTCATTCCATCCCCTGCCATGGGGCCTTCCACTAGACCAGGCTGCTCCAAGCCCCATCCTGAACACGTGCAGGGATCCAGGGCAGCCTGTGCCAGGGCCAGGTCAGCGCCCCAGGAGCACCAATCTGCACCCAAACCTCTGCAGTCATCTTTGCCTAAGGCCTGTAACACACAGGATGAGTTCTGTCCCAAAGCACAAGGCCCAGGCTCAGAGCTCTGGAGGGTGTTTGCAGCTCCCATTGCTTTTCCTAAGTGCCAGGCTCCCCTGCCACCCCAAATCCCATCAGAGGGGAGGGCGCTGGGGAGGCAGCGAGCAGCGCTGGGCCGCGGGGCTGAAAGGGTGCCAGGGATTAGAGCAGAAATGGGATTATCCAGCTGGGCTCTTGTCGCCCCAGCGGCCCGGCTCAGTGACAGTTAAATCGGGATCTAATCAGCTGTGAGCTCCGTGCCGAGCCGGTCCCTGCGGGGGCATGGCTGCCTGCGTGCACTCCCGGGCCCTGGGCAAAGCCACCTGCTTCGGGCTCGCCTGCCTGTAGGTACCGAACGGGGGAGCGGGACTCGAGGGTCGGGGTGTTCCCCGTGCCTGCCAGGTGTGGGGGTAACGGGACAGGAGGGACAGGCTGCTTGGGAAGAGTCCCAGAGAGGCCATGGAGCTGCCCCGAGGGCTGGAGCCCCTCTGCTCTGGGAGAGCTGGGGGTGCTCACCTGGGGAAGAGAAGGCTCCAGGGAGACTTCAGAGCCCCTTCCAGGACCTAAAGGAGCTCCAGGAGAGCTGGAGAGGGATTGGGGACAAGGGATGGAGGGACAGGACACAGGGAATGGCTTCCCACTGCCAGAGGGCAGGGATGGATGGGATATTGGGAAGGAATTGTTCCCTGGGAGGGTGGGGAGGCCCTGGCACAGGGTGCCCAGAGAAGCTGTGGCTGTCCCTGGATCCCTGGCAGTGCCCAAGGCCAGGCTGGACAGGGTTTGGAGCAGCCTGGGACAGTGGAAGGTGCCCGTGCCATGGCAGGATGGGATGGGATGGGATGAGCTTTAGGGTCTCTTCCCACCCAAACCGCCCTGGGATTCCCTGCTACCCCAGGGTGGCCTTGGGAGGGTCAGCTGTCCTTGGGGTGCTCTGTCCAAGCACTGTTCCCAGGCTGCTAAATGTGTACAAATACCAGGGAGCCTAAAACTTAATTGGATTTATAGATTTGCAGGGTTTGAGATGGGAACTTCTGGGAGTGCTGAGGGCTGGTTTTGGTGCCATCAAACCCAACACAGGAGGACACCCGTGTGCCCAGGGACAGCCAGTGACAACAACCAGTGCCGCTGCTGGGCTCAATCAGAGCTTCAACATCACTTCTCTGGAGCTCTCAAAGCTCAGCATACCTGAAATGGTTGGAGCTTAAGGGTTGTTTAGGCTGTGTATAGTAAAGATTAGTTGGACTTTGGCTCCTGAAACTGCCTGAGCCCAAAAGGGGGAATAGGAAATAAAATTTACTGCCCAAAGCATCAGGGCTGAGGGTTTCCAGGTGCCTGATCAGATCTGTTTCTGTACAGTGCTTATGAAACCACAGCCCCAAATTTAGYGTTCTGGGCTCGGGTTTTGCTTCTGAATTAGCAATTCCACCCCCTGGCTTCTATTCCTGGCGAGATTTCTGCCGCTTTTGGCAAGGGTCTGACTCACCACAGGGATGGATGGGTTCTGGTGGATCCCACTGCAGAATCTTGGTGCTTCTCGGGCACACGAGGAGGATGTGCAGATGCCCACAAGCTGGTCTGGATTTATTTGTGCTTAAACAGAGATCTGGAGGGTTACATGTTTTTATTAGCAGGATAAGGGYAAATCCTTCAGATGGAGCAGGTTTTTGTCATAAATGGCTTATCTGTAATCTTTTTTTCTTTCTGGTTTAGTCCAGCAATCTGCTCATCCCCCTTTTCCSTCTCCTAGCAAGTGCATGGAGATGAGGCCGTAGCCTGAAATACCAATTTCTGTAATAATGCAAGATTATTATGGTCTTTAGCATAGAATTTTGGAAAAGAGCAGTGTTAGACCCCTTAAAACACAGATCCATGGCTGCTTTCACAGCCTGCTTGTTGCAAATCCCCCCTGCCTTTTCCCCAGCTTAGTTTGAAAACTCCCAGTCCTGGGCAGGAAAGTGGCTTGGTTGGTGGGGAGGCCCTGGCACAGGGTGCCCAGAGAAGCTGTGGCTGCCCCTGGATCCCTGGCAGTGYCCAAGGCCAGGCTGGRCAGGGTTTGGAGCAGCCTGGGACAGTGGAAGGTGTCCCTGCCATGACAGGGATGGGATGGGATGAGTTTTGAGGTTCCTTCCAGCCCAAACCATTCTGGGATTCTGKGGCTCCATGCAATGGAGTGGCTTTCAGGGATAATGACTCTGTGCTGAGCTGTGTCCCCTCAGGAGCCAGGGACACCCCAGAACCTGTGCTGGGTGTGTTTAGGGTTTACCCTGAAGCTGAACCCGCTCCAGCCTTCTAGATCCAGTGTTAAAATCACACAGAGCAGCATTCCCCACTCCAGGATTGTCACAAAGATCAGGGAAAGGGCTCCTTTGTCTTGCTGGGGGTCTGTCCCTCCTTCGGCAGCTCCCTAAACCCTCCCCTGACACCAATCCCGCCGGGGTTATGGGGTTAAACCCCAGGCCCTTGAGAGGATTAGGCAGCAACAGGCAAGTRTGAGCCTGGCACAGGCTGCCGTGAACTCACAACACATTTGGGATGTGTTTGGGACGCACTCAGCTTGTTCTCTGCCATGATTTTGGTCATGCAAGGTCTTGTCACCAACCCTGGGCACTGTCCTGCGAGTCTGAGTGTCCCCAAATGCTGTGTGGCAGCTGCCAGAGGAGCTTGCACAGAAAAACTTGGTTTGTTGTTGGGGGAAAAATCCCCATAAACTTCCCAGCAGTGCCTGGGCTGCTTCTGTCCTGTTCTGCTCTGCCAGAAAGGGACACGTCCCTTGGAGGGGTGGGTGGACCCTGGCTGGACACCAGGAACCCACCAAAGCTGCTCTGTCCCTGCCCTACCCAGATGGACAGCAGAAGAAAATACAATAAAGGTTCATGGGTTGAGATAAGGACAGGGAAATCCCTCACCCAACRCCTTCAGGGGCAAAACAGACTCGAATTGGGGATTGTAATTGAATTTGTTACTGACTAAATCAGAGCAGGATAATGAGAAGTAAAATAAGACCTTAAAACCACCTTCCCTCTATCACACCTCCTTCCCAGCTCTCCCTCCTTCCCCACGGTGGCACAGGGAGATGGGAATGGGAGTTATGGTCAGTTCCAGCCCCTGCTCAGGGAGAGGAATCAGAGTCCTTCCCCTGCCCCAGTGTGGGTCCTTCCCATGGGAGACAGTGCTCCAGAAACTTCTSTGAAAGGGTCCATCCTGTGGGTGACAGTTCTGGAGGAGCTGCTGCCCCATRGGGTCAGTCCTTGAGGCACAGCCTGCTCCAACYTGAGTCCCCCAGAGGGTCACAGATCCAGCCAAGGAACCTCCTGCAGGGGGTTCCTCTCCCCATGGATCCCCAGGTCTGCCAGGACTCTGTTTCAGCAGAGCTTCCCCAGGCTCACAGCCCCTTTCGGGCACCCCCTGCTCCAGCCTGGGCTCCCCCAGGGGCTGCAGAGGCTGCCTTCCTGTGGCCTTCCCCACGGAACCTCAGGGCAATCTCAGGATSATCAGCTCCGGTGCCTGGAGCAGCTCCTGCACCTCCTGCCCTGCCCCAGGTGCCTGCAGGGCTRTTCCTCTGCCATGGTCTCACCCTGCTCTGCTCTGCTCTGCTGCCYCATCACTTTTTTGTGTGTTCCCTCTCCAATCTGTTATCCCAGAGGTGTCATCWCCATTYCTGRCTGGCCCAGCCTTGGCCAGTGGCGGGTCCGTCTYGGAGCCAGCAGGGGTTGGCTCTGCTGGACACGGGGGGAAGCTTCCAGCAGCTTCTCMCAGAATCCATCCCCCAMTACMAAATCCTATCCACACAAACCCAGTACAGTTGTGTAGGGCATGTTCTGGATGCATGGAAAGGCTGCTGTGCACCCCTGTCTAACATGTCCCTGTCTGTTCCCACAGATCCCATCCCCACGAGCTGGCCCTGGGCTCCGAGCTCAGCCACTCCATCGTGACCGTCATCAGCGGGGAGGAGCACTTCGAGGATTACGGGGAAGGGAACGAGGCCGATCTGTTCCCAGACCCTCTGTGTAATGGGGAAAGCAGCTTTGGCAGCTCCTCCTTCCTCTCACCCAGGTAATGCCTGGCCCTGCTGCTCTGCCAGGACAGGCGCTCGGTGCCTTCACTCTGCTYGGTGGGATGGGGGTTCCGTGGGATTTGCCAGGCAGAGGGCCTGGAAAACTTTGGACACAGTGGGATAATCGGCGTGTTAGAGGAATTYCCTCCATCAGTGTTGCCTTTCCCTGCTCAGTGCCCATCCTCCCATCCTGCTCAAGTCCAGCAGGAGGTGGGAGAGCTGTCTGCATTTCCAGCGTCACATTCCCGCTCCTCTGAGGGATGTGGCTCCTCACGGAACCTTCCAGGAGAGGAATCCACCTGCAGCTTTACCCCTGGTCCTGCTGGATGACTCCTGTTTTTTTCTCTCTTATTATTCTGGGTTTTRATGCAATGTTTGGTTGGGTTTGCACGAGCTGCAGCAGCATTCCTGCTCTAAGGATTTGTGGAGCAGGAAGCAGGCTGTAGCATATCCTCCTTGCTTTAGGGCCTGAAACCAGGAAAAAGTCCATTTTCCAACCTGAGCAGGTGGGCTGAGGAGCTGGTGTGATGGGACAAACCCCATTAATACTTAYAAGGAAAATAAGCAGAAACTGGAATATCATCCAGTGCTGCAGTCCACAAAATGTCTGGGATGACAGGAAACACTGGGAATSTGTTCTTCCATTGGAAGCACATCTCTGCACAGGGCAGGAGTGATCCCTGCCAGCCACACACCTGTGCTGAAAACAAAAATACACTTTTTCCCCTTTGGAATGACACATTTGTTCCTTTCTGCAGCCATGTAAACTACTCAAAACCTCTTTTTTCCCCCTGTTTTGTCCCAGCTTCCCAAATCCCTTCAGAGAGTTTGGGCAGTTCTGGTTGCACAGGGCTGGCAGGGAAGAGCAGGTCAGGACTCATTTCTTTCTGGCTGGTGCAGCAGCAGTGTTGGAGGTGTTAAATGCAAATAGGAAAGTTGCTGTGAAGAATTCCCAACCTTTTCCTTCAGGAAAACAGTGCTGCAGCACTGGGATCCGCTGCAGTGGGAAGCAGTCTCTGATCCATGCTTGTCCTTGGCTTGCTCCACACAGGAATGTAGGGCTGGCTGTGCTGCTGCTGGGGCAGAGGAAGAACTCTCTGATTAAAACCCAGCCTTGGTGTTCATTTTCCCTTGAGGATGAGCTTCCAGCCTCATTCAGAAGGCTCCTGGCAGGAAAACACCCGGCTGAAGGAGCTTTGCAATCAGTTAAACCTTTTATTTAAGAGTAGGCCAGAGCTCCCAGTTTGCCCACGCTCAGTGTTCCAACCCTGCTCTGCCAGGGCACCCTCTCTCCTCTGCTCTGTCTCTTTGGATCTGATCCCAACCTTATCCCATCTTCCCTGTGCCGGGRGGGGCTCACTGGGCACGTGGCCACGCTGTTTGTGGTGGTTTGTGCTGGAAACTCTCTGCTGGGGCTTGCTGGGGAGGCAGGCTGGAGATAAACCCTGCAAAACCTTGGGAGGCAGGAATGTGGGGCTGTTGGAGCCACAGGATTTCATCKTGCCTTTCAGGTCTGGCCTCCCCTTGGATTATCACTGTGTGTGAAGCCCTTCCCTAAACATTCCCTGAGACTCTGCTGCTCTTCTTGGCTTTGGATAGGGAGGGATAGGACACARGGAATGGCTTCCCACTGCCAGAAGGCAGGGATGGATGGGATATTGGGAAGGGATTGTTCCCTGGGAGGGTGGGCAGGCCCAGAGAAGCTGTGGCTGTCCCTGGATCCCTGGCAGTGTCCAAAAGCCAGATTGGACAGGACTTGGAGCAGCCTGGGACAGTGGAAGGTGTCCCTGCCCATGGCAGGGGTGGGATGGAATGATTTTTAAGGTCCCTTCCCACTCAAACCATTCCATGGTTCTGAGCAGCCCCAGTGTGTTTAAACCCACCCAGAGGAACCACAGGCTGGCACTGGTTCAGGCTGAACTTTTTTTGGCTGTRTTTTGGATACACAGAAAGGGTCACATCACCACAGACCGTTTCTGTACTACAAGAGTCTCTAAACAGGAATAACAGCGAGGAATTCTCCTGCTACGGCTCCAGGGGACCAATGCAGCCCCCGAGGGCCTCCAGGGGACACTGTGGGATGGATGCAGTGCTTCCCTGCCCAGTCCTTGTATGTTTGTCTGTGATCACTCCTCTTGGAGTCCCACCTCTTGCACCAGTAGGAAAAGCTTCTTTGCATCTCTTGGTGGAAAATGAAGGGAAAAGCTCCTTGTGCCCATCCCAGGCACCAGGAAGCACCGAGGACCTGTGGAAGACAAATGTTGCTCCAGGAGCTGGAGGGAGGCACAGGAARGCTCTGTGTTGTATAACCATAGAATCTGCTGAGCTGGATGGGACCCATCGGGATCCTGAAGTGGGTGGGGACAGCCCTGGGCTGAGCTCTCACCCCCACCCCGGGCAGGGACCCTGTACAGCCCGAGGCCAGGAGGAGCTGCACACACCCAGGAGCTGCCAGGCTGGCCCAGGGCTCCTCCTGCACACTTCTCTTCTCAGTTGGACTAATGCTGCTTAAATTTGGGTTCCCACCTGGCCCAGACTGCACCACCTGAGAGGGAAACACACCCAGGAGCACCCAGAAAAGGAACATCCCTTCCTCTGGGTGCCACCCAGCTGCTGTCACCTCCTCCCTGTCACCTCCTCCCTGCACCAACCTTCGTGCTGCTGGGAAATGTTTATCCTGGGGCCAGACCAGCCTTGAGGGTAGGGGGAATGGTTTTCAATTGAGGTTTTTTTTTCAGGAATGGGAAGAGGCGATAATTTGGCATTTGCTGGTGTCCAGCCTGTCTGAGAGGGCTGGGAAATACTGTACAGACAGCACAGACCCCAGGCCTGACCCTGGGGTGGGGACTGAGCCAGGGGACCCCCAGGATGTCCCAGGCTCTGCACACCCCYGGGCCAGGACTTGCTGGTGTGTTCTGTATCCCGGGAGTCACTGCCCCTCTGGGTGCCTGCTGGGTTTATCTTGCTTGTGTTTGCTCACACCTTTACCTGTCTCTCTTACTGAACTGCTTTAGTTTTTCACTGTTTAACCTTCCTTTGATTCACACCCGTGGCTTCCAGAAGCATTGTTTTCCCACAGAAAGGGTTTGTGGAGTCTGTTTGGACCCAAATTGACACAAACCCTTTCTTGCTCAGAATCTCCTCTGTCCTGCCCAAATCATGAGGAAGAGACTCCCAGCTTCCCAAGCTGTGAAAGTCCTGTAGGCCCCCATGCCCCCTTCCAAATGGCATTCCCTGCAGGAAGGCAGTGCTGAGAGGGGTTAAATGGCTGCTGCCCATTTCATCCTCACTTAGAAGCTCTTTGCAGTGARAATCTGACCCTGTGTTGCTGATGTGCATTACTGCTGTGCAGCAGCCCAGCTGCCCTGTTCTGAAAGCAACCTGTTGGCAAATGGGACACTGACCAAAGGATCATGGAATCACAGAATGGCCTGAGTGGGAATAGACCCACCGGGATCACCCAGTCCAGCTCCCAGCCCTGCACAGACACCCCAGCAATCCCACCCTGTCCATCCCTGGCAGCGCTGTCCAAACGCTCCTGGAGCTGTGGCAGCCTCGGGGCCGGGACCATTCCCTGGGGAGCCTGGGCAGTGCCAGCACCCTCTGGGGACAGAAGAACCTTTCTCTAAAATCCATCCCATTTCTCCCTTGGATTTAGCCCTGGCTCCCAGCACCCACTCTTGCAGTGTGCAGGTTCACTCTGCACTTACTGAGGCAAACCAGGAGCCTCCTGAGACAGACTGCCTGGAAAATCCTGGAGGAAAATAAACTTTGCAGTGGTGTGGGTTTGTGGGAAGCACTTACCTCACCTRTCCTGGGCTCTTGGGGATTGAAATTGGCTCAGGGGATTGGAAACATGGGCCAAGCTCGGCTGCTGGGAGTCTCTGGGAGGAGGATGATGGAAGYTTGCTAATTACCAATCRTATAAATCATATCTRTAATTATATATAAATTTAATTATAWTAAGCAATTATAAATCACCAATTAGCTATATATTACTACAAACTATTACAAATTATAAATTATCTATATATTGCTATAAGCAGCCCCACATTAGCTTCAATTTAGCTTCAAAAATCCCGGTGGGAGGCRACCCGACCTGCCCTGACTTTTTAATTCAAATTCCCCATCTTCCACCAAAAATGCCTCTCCCYTGAGGGAGCCTGAGCTTGTGGAAACCACGGCCGCAGCCTCTCCCTGTGCGTTGTGCGCTGTTGACATGACCCTTGTGATCTCTCTAGCACCAATCCGCTCGCTGCGAAACTGCACAGCATTCTCGCAGATGAAGCTTTTGAGTTTTACTGTAGCCAGTGCCACAAACAAATCAACCGCCTCGAGGATCTCTCTGCTCGCCTGAATGATCTTGAAATGAATAGGTAACGGGGCTCCTGTGTGTGTGGCCATCCCAGCCTCGGGGATGGTGTCCTGGTGGGGAACGCTCTCCTTGTCTCACTCGGGGTGGTGGAAGGGGATGAGTTCCAGCCGGCCACGGGAGCCTGTGCAGGTGGCCCAGGCAGTGGTGACCTTGTGGAGGGGGAGCAGAGAGTGCCTTCAATCCAAACTGCAGGGGCTGGCAGACCAGGAGAGCGTTCCTTGCCCTCTGCATGCCTGTGCATGGTGGGTTCTGCCGGGAGCCGCGAGCTGGCCGTGTACAGTATTTCTGTCACCAAGGAAAGCCTGGGAATGCTGTGGAAGGGCAGCCTGGAGGGGCAGGGCCAGCCCATCTCCCACTGCAGGAACAGCCTGAAGGCATCACCTGCTCCACATGGCAGTAAAATCCCGTCTCACCCAGCCTCACCCACTGCCTGCCCACCCTGGTGCCACCACGGGCCGGGGAGATGTGACAGGCACCAGGAACATCAGGAGATTTGGTATTTTGGAGRTGTCCCAGCCAGCAGCTGGATGTGCTGTCTGACAGGTGGGGAGGGACTTCTGCCTGTGGGTTCATTTATCCAGAGCTGGCTGGGAGGATGGTGGCACTGGTGATAACCTTTCRTCTCGTGGCTGATGTGTTTCTTCACATCTGAGTTTTGGTCGTATTCTTGGTCTCTATCTGTCTTTTGCAGGGACGATGTGATCTGGGAGCTCTCCTGGGTTATGGGTAGAAAGCTGGAAAGTGAATAGGAGCTTGAATTTAATTCTTAATGAAAAAAAGAACAATTTCTTTTTCTTAATGAAAAAAGAAGAATTTCTCTCCCTTTTTTTTTCCTTGGGTGAATAATTGTCTTTGCTGTTGGATGCTGTCAGGGTCAGTGATGGGTCTCAGGTTATGCAGGTATTAAGGACAATGCTGRTTTTCCATGGAAGCCTCACTCCATCTCAGGTTTTCTCCACCAAATTTCTCTGATAAGCTGAACTAACAGCTCAGAGCTCCTGTGATGGGTGGGATTTCCAGTGGAGCTTCCCTGTCCCATGGTCACRGTGGAAATTCCAGAGGTTTTGGTTTGTCCTGTAGCAGGTGCAATTCCTCCRTTTGTGTTCAGGGTTTCCTGAGTACAGATTTACTGGGAATATGTTCCAAAGGCCTTTATGGAAAGGGCAATGCCCTCTTTTTGTGTGGTGTGGCTGGGAGATGTCCCGTGCAGCGTGTGGGATGTGCAGGACCTGCTGTTCCTCCCTGCATCACTGGTGACGTGAAACCTCCGAGCAGGGGACAAGTCCCAGAGCAGCAGGAACTGGACCAAAATCTGGGACAAGCCTGAAGACATCACCTCCAGGGGAATCTGGCAGCTGGGATGAAGCCCAGAGCACCCCAGAACAGCCTCACTCTGAAACTGCAGGCACACAGTGTTTTATTCTTGGAATGAATTCAGGAGTCTGCTCCCAGCACTGAGGTGCTGCTTCCTGAGCCCACAGCCCCTGGGAAAGCAGGGAAGAATCCTCCAGGAGCTTGGGATGAAGCAGTTTGTGACTGTTCTGTTCCAGTGCCCTTGCTGGTGTCTCAGCCCTTGGACACCGCAGGTGCCACCTCTTCCCTGGGAGCTTTTTCCAGAGGAAAATATTTTTCCCCGCAGTGCTGGGGCCATTCCTTACAATTCCTGGCAAACACTGGGACCTGACCTCCTCCCCTTGGGCGCCRAGCAGCCTTGAAGCCTGGCCAGCAGCAGCTCTTGTGCTCCCTGGAAATGTGGGATTTGAGGATGCCCTTTGGCCCGAGGGCTGCTTACCCTGACAACACCCCCCAGCCACGTTTGGTGGTTGTTTTACAAAGCAAATTGTCTTGAGCTATTTTTAATCCCTCCTTCGAAGAAGTCATATTGCAGCTCCAGGCAGGAGTGGACTCCCAGATGATTTTATTTTTTATTGTTTTTTCCTTAAACTGAGCTAAGCACCCTGGAATGCAGTTGCTGCTTCTTGGGTCAGAGCTGTTCCTGCTGCCATCGCCAAGTGAGGATTTGGTACCTGCTGGATGTGGCCCGGTGGCACCTGTGGGACACAGCGTGGGTGGAAGATGAGAAGGGGAACCCAAACCCTGCCCGCTTCCCCAGCACCAGTCACGACCAGAAGACTTGAAGAGGCATCTTAGCAAGGAGCTGGTTGGGGAAAAGGCTGGATTTTCTGGGCAAGGAGAGCCTGCAGCCTGTCCCCAGGGGCTGGGCCAGGGTAACACAGYCCTTGGCTGCTCATGCTGTGCTGACACTGAGCCCTGACCGCTGTGGTATGGAGGCAGCTGGCTCAGGCATGGATCCAGGGAATCCATGGAAAAGAGAGAGCTCGTCSTCCTCCCCAGCCACCGCCACAGTGCCGGGCTCAAAATCCAGCCACGGACACTCCAACAGCTCCTAAAGCCTCTGAGCTGCGAGCAGGCAGCGCTTCCCCGGTGATCTGGAGCCAAACAGTGGG